TCGCTATTACCTCAGAGTGGCACATTATATCACACTATCTTCTCCAGCATGCATCCTTCGTTATTCCAGAAAGTATGCAGAAAATTCAAACACACATCGTAATTACTTACATCAGCTTCTTCTTAAACGCAATTGATCAGTAGTGAATTCGAAGAAATGTTGATAATAATGATTAAACACATGAAATTCTAAAAGTACAATAATAAATAATGAGTAACTTAATTTGAGATGAATGAAAACAAAGCTTCAATAAATTTTTGTACATTCCTGACAAAGAAATTAACCAACAAATCAGAAATTTCTCAATGCTATTTCTTTGGACATTATTTTTTAAAGTATGGATAGTATTACTTTCCGGGCTGTTATATAGCCTATAACTGAGAGAAAGTAGAGCGATCGGTCAGAAATAAGCATTTCTTTTTCTTTGTTTTTGGAAAGAAATAGCGTTTTCTTTTATTCTCTAGTTTAAAATATAAGTAAACATGCTTTTAGGTTTTTGTTTTTTCACTGCAGAGCAGAAGTAAAAAAGAAACGTCAAATAAAAAGAAGAAACAATAACAAGGGATTTGAATATTTCATATATTACCTACTGAAGTTATTAAGGAGGATAAGATTGAACTTTTTATACAATTTATGTGGCTAGTCAATTGTTTTACAAAAGTTCTTCTCCAGACAATTTTCTTCCGTATATTTTTCTCCAGAATATTATTTTCGTAAGTAATCTTCCGAAGCAAACTGTTTGCTATTTTCTGTTTATATATCTCTATTGAGTTCCCTTTCAGAAGCACTGGATACAGATTTCACAAAAAATAACGATTGATCAAAACTATTTTAGTGAGATATATTGCCCATTACGATCGATCTGTTGGAACCATTTGGATAGGATATATAGGACATTGATTCATTTAATGTATTATTATGTTTACATATAGTATAACTTTGAATTAAGAAATTCGATATATTGTAATTCGAAATTCTATATTAGATAAAAGTTTTAAGCAATTACAACTACCAAAGTTCTATTAACGTATTAATTATTTCTTGGTGAATTTTTGCATTCTATTACAAGAAACGAACGTATAGAGGAAATTCTTATAAACTTAATGAAATAAATCATTCTAACAGAAGTAATACTAGAAACATATTCTATGGAGATAAATTGTACACATTATTCATTTTCATAAAATATATTTATTTTAATTTAAAGTTGCCTGCGGATGAATTATGTTAATTATGCATACATATGGTACGATAATACAAAAAATTCACCAAAGCAACATAGTGGAAATTTCTAAAATGTGAAGAAAAATATTCTGGAAAAAAACTATCTGAAGAAGAAATGGAGGAGGAAGCAATATCTTGGGAGGAATTACTGGGAAAGAGTTAGGAACAATTGTCAAGGACGAATTGTCTGGGGAAGAATTAACAACCTTGTATTGATATATGACTAACATTTATAAAAATTTTATTCGTCTTAGTGTGTTAGTAACAATAAACTTTAACATAATTCTTAAACGTTTACTTAATTTTATGTAAAATATTTAAAAATTTTATAATGATATTAATATATTCTCGTTTCGAATGCTCTTAAATAAATAGAGTATTGAACTTTTGAATTAGGTTTAAAAGAAACGGCAGAAGTAATTTTTTTTACCGATCGCCATACTTTCTCTATGTTATATATGGCAACCGAAAAAGTAGTAATAAGGAATATAACCACCAGACAATTTCCATATTATTCTTACATTGTCTACATTTAAAGCATTTTTAAAATCAATTTTCGTTAAATAAGAACGTTTTTATAAATTGATTACGTAAACAGGAGCGTATCACATCGTAAAATAATTTACAATGTGATACGTATCACATTAATTTATATGAAGATCCACATGTGTTTAAATTTCACATTTAATTAAGTCGTAAATTAATTTTAATGATTTTATAATCAATTATATAATCCACTTTCACATACAGATGATTTCTGCACGTTTTGCTTAGGCGACATATTATTAATATATGAACACTTTTACTATCTTTTCAATCTTTTTAAATATTTTATTTTATTCAATTTTAATAAAACCTTTCCGCATTAACAGAAAAATTGTTCCGTATTCAAAAGAAATATTGTGCGATATCAACAAGAATTTGCCATCCATGTCCATTTGATCAATTTTCTTTCTTCTGTTTACCTTTAAATCATTTATNGGGATAAAACGTTCAATATTATTGATTTCATATTAGTAAAGAAAAGCAAAGAAAAAAAAATAATGACTTGTTCTTCATCGGGACGACGATTTTTCAATAAAAATATTTTCTGCATTTTACAAAAGTTTTGGTAAATGTAAATGGACTTTAAATATACAACTACACAAAACTCACTTTAATTTAACTTTCGTTAAATAAATAACAAAAGCTATTTTATATATTGAAGAGGAAAATATATTGAAATTAAAGGGAGAAAAATCTTTATAATTTCAATTAGATTGCTAACGGGATAAAACGTTCAATATTATTGATTTCATATTAGTAAAGAAAAGCAAAGAAAAAAAAATAATGACTTGTTCTTCATCGGGACGACGATTTTTCAATAAAAATATTTTCTGCATTTTACAAAAGTTTTGTAAATGTAAATGGTACTTTAAATATATAATTGAAATTATGCTTTAAAATATACTGTTAATCTTGATAATCATTTAATTTATACATGTTTAAAATAACATTTTATTTATATTCAAAATATAAAACAAATATGATGAAAATAATTGAATAATTTCGATAATTGAAAGTTAAAAGTAGTTAAAATAAAGTAAAGAATATAAGAAATTTAAACATTTTCTTTACAAAGTTACGACACTTGAATTTTATAAAGAATACAGAATTAGTATTTTGAAACCTATCAAATTTAATTCCTTTTGTGTATGCACATCTAGAGGGAAAATTTGATATTATAAGTCTCTTTTAAGCTTAAAATTACAAATTTTCATTAACTAGAAATTTTATTCTCATGAGAGAAGAAAGAAAGAGTACAAGTGATTACAAAACTCTTAGTCTCAGAATTAATTTTTCAGAAACAAAATGAAATGCAGCCTTTTCAAGTATAAAATATTCTTTTTTAAAAATATTTTTGTAAGCATTAATTTACACATAAAACCAAATGACTTTTTAATGTAATTTTATATTCAAAATAAAATATAAATATAAGAAGCAATTATTTATTGTGACATGGTCATAATGCCAAGGTGCAATATTTAATCATATTTTTTTTTATAATTGCTTAATTTAAATAATATATTCTTCACCTAAAATAAGTAATGTCTTATCTCTTTATGATATACTTTTCCGCTAACAGGAGTCGTGCCGGTCATTTATCTAACTCCTTTCAGGGGAAAATTTTTCACTTAAAATAACATGACTTCCAGCTTGCATAGGAGGTTCATGTAAAGTTAGTCGGGGTTTCCTACCCCAATTATTTCCACCTCTGAACTCGAGATTCATCTATCTGACATTATTCTCGAGATTTAGGAACGACAGACAGGCAGACAAACGGACGAGAGTAAGAATGTATAGTTCTTCAATTTTTTCAAATTGTAGCCCACTCACAATTAACTTGAACTTGAAATGAATCATATTCAATATCTTTTAAGTTTTAAAATTTAAAAATTTATTATTTATGTTTATTTCAGAAACTTAATATAAGCATCTTTTGTTATGGAGCTTATAACTTATATAAGGCGAATTCTTTTTATTTTCGCAATTTTTCTGTTAAAATTGATTAGGTTGAGACTAGTCATTGTTATATATGAACAATGGCTTGATATTTGATATAATTCTAAATACATTAAAAGTCAATAAGCCAGTTAAATGAGACAAAATTTCTAAAAATAAATTCTCTAATAATTATTTATAATTTTATTTGTTTTCAGTTTTTATACGTTATTAAAATATATGTAAAAATTTGATTTAACTAAGAGTTCATTTTTCCAATAATTATATTTATTTATTTTAATATTTAATAAATTAGCTTTTAAATTTATTTAATCATTTGATTTTAATTTTATACAGTTAAAATTTTGGAGTATTGAAGATAAAGATAGTTCGTAAGGTATTGCTATTTTCTTCTTCAGTCCAGAAAATTATGCGATATATTTTAAAATTTTTATTATGTGAAATATAGTTTGAGCCATCACATTTTATTGTTAAAAAATGTCATTAACAAAACTGAAATTTTAGTAAAGCTTTTCGAAAATATCAAATATATTTGTATCAAATAATGAAAGGTATGAAGATCAAATCAAGTTTATTATATATTAATTAGATTTATGGATAAGATTATTTTTCCTTCCAAAATTGATTAATTTGATATAAATTTAATTTATAGCAAGAAAATCTTGTTTGGTGCTTTTATATCAGCATTGGCACAGCTTTCTCTACAATTGGTTTCAAGTTATTTGGATCGGGATCTTCCAGAACAGAACCAAATGCCATAACTGCAGCATCTCTGTAACGCCAATCTGGATGTTTGATATTATCTTCTACAAAAGACAATATATGTGGGTCGATGTCATCTTCACAGCAAGTCGCCATGAGCATTAAACATACCCCCGCATCTTTGCATGGATTCCAATCATCTTCATTATCATGGTCTTCTTGCTTTGTCAAAGTTTGCATTAAAGTTGGAACTATGTATGATTTGATTGAGTAGCTTCACAGACAACTTGCATAATAAAATGTCTTTCAGAGTCTTTTTNTCTGAACCAGTACAGTTGAAGCCAGGAATCCTTAACCCTCTACCTGCAGGGGGAATTTCCAAAAATCCCTTCTTAGTGTACATTCTCATCATGTATCCAAACTGTGTATCAAATTTCAACTCCTAACCATTTGGGCTCTGCATTTATAATCATCATCACTAAATTTCATATATTAACAATCACCTGTGTATGATTTGATTGAGTAGCTTCACAGACAACTTGCATAATAAAATGTCTTTCAGAGTCTTTTTTCAAAATTTGCTTTAGTAAATTCAAGAGAATTCAACAGTGCATTTGTTGCAGCTAATTTGACATGGTCACTTGGCTCATTTTTACGCATCCCATGTACAATAGCTGTTAAGATATCATTTGATTGTGTGGCCAATATATCTGGCTCAATATCTTGACATATGTAACCAACAGCTTCTAGAGTTGCTTCCTTCATCATTTCAGTACTGTTGACATTTGTAACATTATGAGTTAGAATTTGAATTAAATTGGGCCATTATGTATTTGGCAATACTGTTACTGCAATATATGCCACACATTGTGCAGCAGAACTACTACGAATTGTTTCTGTACCCAAGGATGCTAAAACATTTTGTTTTATATACAAGCGTACATCTTCGGGAAAGAATAACCATCGTTGCTGGTTCTGATTTCGCAATTCAGCATCTTTGGAGGTAAGGGAATTCTTAAGTTGCAGCTCAGCAGCCATACGAGCCACTGGACTGTTACTGGCATGTTGCAACACATCTGACAGTGATTTCAGAAATTCAGGCAAATTGTTTTGTGCAGCTTGTTCCAGATAATGCTGAGCAGCTTCAAGTTCAGTTTTATCTGGAGATACAGTCTTTTCTAAAATAGTTATTAAATTCATGTTTCTTTTCTGTACACAATCAAAAACTGATAAAATAAAGGATTGACTGGAATATTCTACAAACCCACCAAACCAAGTTACCGGCAGAAGAGATGGCGCTCCGACATGTGGTGGTTTTATATTATTTTCTATTATTTATTAATATTAATATAAATTCAATTCAATCAACATCCCTATAACCTTGCTATTGATCAATCATTTAGAAAGAATGCAAATATTTACAATGGCATCATTAATAACAAATTATTAAATAATAACCATTATATCAATTTTTTATTAAAATTTTGGAGTCAATAAGGAAACGAAGAGACGATGAGCATTTATAATTGAGGAAATTTCTTTTAATCTACGAACTAATACGTGAATAACGGAGGATTCTAATCTAATAGACGAGGTTACACATGCGACGGTAAGACTTAAACTGTAAAGATGAAACAGAGAAACCAACAGATATTTTTTGTCTAAAGTAGACCTCCCCGGGTGACCAAATTGGTTTTCACTTGTAAGCATCAACATTTTTAACGTAAATACATATTAAACAAATTAAACAAAGATCATTAACACTCGTCAACCATCAAAACCCAATCATTATCTGTTTGACTACATTATTATTACATTCTTGAACTACATAACATATCAAAATATGCACTTATTCCATATTCACATTTTAACGTATTGATATATTATGTTTAATATTTGTATCACCAATCATAATTATATTAGTGTCATACTATTAAATGTCATCAATAAATTAACCATTTTTCCGCAGAAACTCTGAATAGTTCAACGAAAATTTTTATAAACACATATTAAACAGAAATTCTTATTTTGAATTGATAATATTTTTCCACGAATGATTTTACTACAGCCAAGGGTTTCAATATCAGACATTATTGAAAAGTCAAACCCTTCATTTACGTATAATTCAATATCACCCGACTTATTTGAATCTCTAACACTTGAATAGCTTTTGGAATAGGTATTTTATATCTGCAAACTTTATCATGCATATAGGAAATGTCTACTTTAAAATATATCTGTAAGAAACGACACAGAAACTCATCAAAATTTTTCACTCGCTTCTGATATTGATTCAAATTAACCAAATCACATAAAAACAAAATCATTTAGTTCACAAAATTTATTATACTGTACTCACTGACACACATCACTTAATTTTAATAATTTTACTAGAAACTGAAAAATAATTTTAATAAAATAAAAATAAATTTGAAGCATACATAAACTATAACTTCATACAGGCTGCAATTTTTCTGTATTACTTTCATAAGATTTTTTTTTATAAATTTCTCTTAATGTTGACTTTTCTTACGATTTACACAATTATTTTTATAGAGAACCAATAAAAATTATTCATAAAATTTAACGTAGAAAAATCTTTAAGTTATTGGCCAATTTTTTAGTAATTTTATAGCGTAGATCTTATTGCCGTTCCTTCCCAACTCCGTCTCGTTGAGTTGGTTTCCTGTGTATCACGACTCGGTGTAGTGAATCAGGTTCGTTGGAAAGCACACCTCCACACTCAAATTGAATGTATTTACAGTTTATTTACAGTTGTAGAAAGTACAAGTTAGAAAACATAGTATATGTACAGGATGACCATGCGTGATGACTCACATGAAAGATTGGCGTCTGGGAACTAATGACCTTTGGAGAGACCTCAGTCAGCTTGTGGAGTCGGCTCAACTGCACGTACGGTCCGGTCTCGGCACTAACCCCGTCTCTGAGAAGATTAACAGAAGAGAACACTCTCTCTTTACGCTAAGCGGGCTTCCCAAATGCCTAAGACAACCGTGTATCAGTCTCTTCCCTTCTCCCCTCCTCTCTCGTTCGACCCGCAATTTAAGGGTTTTTGGAACGGGGACTTCCGACCAATCACGACCCTTTTTTATGCCCGAACAGCTTACACTCGGGTCCGCCGTCATCCGACGAGAGTGAAGATAACACAAACGTCCGCCACTTGTTTACGTTCGTTTGTTTACCACATGGCAAATGTACTACCGTCTGACTGCAGGTGGGTCCAATTAACAAAGCGGGCGCTTCTTTTGTTTATACCCTTGTTTACAAGTCAATACCTTGCAAGTGGTACGGCTCTTTACACCCTACCGATTTCCACCTGCCTGATGTGTCTCTTGATCCTATCCCTACTACTGGGCCTGCTATTCCAAGTGACGTTTACATCTTCACAGACGGTTCTAAGTCCGAGCTTGGTGTTGGCTCAAGTGTATGTGTATATACCCATCTGCATGAGAACCCTCGGCAAATTCTTAGGCAGCGTTACAATCAGGCTACCACCATTTATCAAGCCGAATTAGCAGCAATTCATCAGGCTGTTCAGTGGAGTTTGACACTTCCTGAACGATTCAAGCTTATCTCAATTTTAAGTGATTCTAAAGCTGCACTGACCTCACTTACTAATACTAATCTTCGAAATAGTATGATTAGGAATATCCAAGAAAATGTAAGCCTAAGCTCGAAATGTTTCAAATTCTTCTATGTGAGATGGCAGATACTGCAGCAAAGGATGCTTCTAAAGATGAAAACCTACCTCTGACTATACAGCCTTATTCTAGGAACACTCTGACGAGGATTATTTATGACCATCTTATTTTAGAATGGAACCAGTCATGGACCTCTTCGACTAAAGGGAATGTCACCAAGATGTTCTACCCAACAATTTATGATTTTCTCAGGAATCCAATTAATAACTTTTCGTATTCTCTTTCTCAAATACTAACTGGTCATGGAAATTTCAATTGCTATCTAGCGGCACGTAATTTGGCCAGCAGTACCTTCTGCTCCTGCGCAACTGGTAAAGCTGAAACTGTACAGCACATATTATATGAATGCCATATTTACGAAATCGAACGCTTCAGGCTAATGCTGGAAGTCCTGTCTTTGGGGTATGGTTGGCCTTGTCCAGCCCATATCCTAGTGTCCAAAGAACTGTGTGCCTACTTTAATTTCTTCATTAAGGACATTTTTAAGAAAAAGCGGTTATGTGTCTAACCGAATTCCATTATTAGCTAACTATGGTTGATACTGTATGCGCATTGTCACTTATTGTATATCTCTTGTCATTCCAGTTATGTATTCATTGTTCTAGTGTAATACTCACTCCAGAGTGGTGCACTCACAAAAAAAAAAACCTTGCAAGTGGTATTACCCGACCGCACGTGGGTCCAGTTGACAAGGTCGCGCCTCTTTTGTTCCCACTCTGCTAAAAGGTCACTACTTTACATTTATATTAAGAATTGTTTTTTTATTTCTTTGCTCTTTCCGCTCTGTAGACATTATAAGGGCCTTTTAACTGTATGCCTGGCCATTTGTGAACTAAATCCGGATAAGCAATTCCAGGCGTTTGTCTCGGATATATCGGGGCCCGTCCTTCATTACCAGACCATTAATGTGTGCCTGGCCACAAACACGATAGCTTTCATCTCTATCGTAGAGATAGAAATCTACGATGTCTATCTCTACGATACGTAGGTAGCTACGATCTCTATCGTGGTTGTGGCCAGGCACACATTAATGGTCTGGTAATGAAGGACGGGCCCCGATATATCCGAGACAAACGCCTGGAATTGCTTGTCCGGATTTAATTCCAGATTCCCCAGAGTGGTTGATTGACGCCTTATTCTCTTTGTCTGACTATGTGTTAAGCATTATAATACATGAAATTTCTAAAATCATTTTTGACAAGATTCCCATTGAGAACCCTAATAACCGTTTATTTAAAAATCATGAAAATATTCCTTTTGTGATTTTCATTTAAAAACTTTAAAAATCAGAATGTTTCTTAATCTGTGTAAAAGGATTTACAAATTACGATGCCTTTACGTATTCTGTTATTATAAAGAGATTACTGAAGTTTCGTTGCTGCTAATTAGAACTTTAAACAAGAAAAGAAGTTATAATCCAAGCAATTTTGTTCTACATCTACTACTACTTTTTTGCGATGATAATATTTAGTGCCTGTAAACACATCTGAACGACTAACATTCCTAATTAAATTAATGTATAAATTTAATGTTAGAAAATAAAAATAACACATAAAATGTAATAACATTTCAGAACTGCTGTATTTTAGATAAAACACATTTTTTTATTATATTAGAGATTTTTTTAAACTGATATTTAAAAAATTACATTTTAACATTATATACATACATTTTAAGATATAAGAAATAATTCCTGTTGAGAAATAACAATAACATTTTTACATACAAAGAAATGAAGCCACGGTATTGCCATATTTAGTTTACATTTGACAATATAAAAAATTCTCGACGTATAATTTTATACCATTCTTCTTTTATCATTTCTATATAGAATTAATTTAGAAAATATAAGTTTTTCTCAATATATATATATAAATTAATTTATCTTACCCTAAGAGAAAAATAAGAAATTTATACATAAAACTTTAAATCACATCCATATGAATGTAACATGTAATATTGGTTTAATAATCATTTTCTGAAAGTTTTGTTGAATACCAAATCAAAAAAATATGCAACAAATAATTAGTTTTAATGACTTTGAATAAAACATACAAAACTATTGATTCTCATATCTCTAACTTATCTAAAACGATATGTAACAGAATTAATTTAGAAGATATAACAGCATTTTTAAAACAAAATTCATTTGGGAGTATTAAAAAATAACGGAAAAGATAAATTTTAATATGCTAAAAAATTGTAACAGTTAGAAACTTACTAGGACATTCTTGAAATCTATATACATATTTAAATCAATTGTTTTGATTCTTGTAACATACAATATTTTGTTAGGTCTAACAAAATTTGTCTATTTTTTTTCATTTTGTTTAAGCTTTTATAACTTTACACTTATTCTGAATTATGAATGTTAGATGTGAAGTAATATTGCCGGAATTTTAAAGTACGCAGAAAATGATGAATAATGAATTTATTATTTAATTTATATATAAACAATTGTACCGAAATAAAATATTACGATATAATTTTCAAATATTTTATAGAGAAAATGTTAAAATCAATTTATCTGAATTTGTTCTTTTTTTTTAAGTTGTAAACTCTTACTT